GTTAAAGGTGAAAGGCCTGCGGCAGGTCAACGACTTCCCAGAAAGGTTCCACCTGCTTCTGACCGGCCGAAACCTGTTCTCCAAAAGACGCAGTCGACGGAAGACAAGCGTTTAGTGGAGAGGAGTGCTATAGCAAAACGGCAACCAGCAGCTGTTTTTGATGAGAACGATATGGACGTTGATACTGCCTTTGATGACCCCATGCTGGGCATAGAGTTGCCGGGATTGGACAGGAAACGTACAAAAGCAAGTAAGGATGGTGACGCAGAGAGAGGTCTCAAAGTTACCAGCGTATTTGATGAGTATGACATGGAAGTGGACACAGCCATGCAGGATTCTGCTCTTAAGAGAGCGATAGAAAGCGACGGACTTTACGATAAACCATTATTTGGCAACCGTGGTAGGTCAGCTAAACGGAAACGGCAAACTGCCAAAGGTAACCGGAAGGGACTTCCCATTAGCACTGCTTTTGATGAGGATGATATGAGTGTTGACGACGCTATGGACGATCCTCAGCTCTTTGACGACGTTCAGGACGACGGACTCCTAAAAGACGGCATGTCGGATGATTTTCTTCGAGCGAAGTTGTAGCCTACCTGGCGGTGTGTCCAGTGGTTCAGCAAAGAAAGTATTGATGACAGTGGTCTTTCCTTTTTCATGAAAAGATCACTGACGTTACAGTTTTTGAAACAAACCGTTTTTGAAAAATTTAGCCTACGGGGCAGTATATAAATCGGCGGGCAGAAACTAAAAACTAGGGAATTAAAAATCACATAAAAGTAATAAGCAAGCAGGACGCATTAACAGATGAGAGGGATAATTTGTGGATAATTACATTTTTACATGAATTTTGATTACTATCTTCATTCAGGGTGCATTCCCCTGTTTAAGGGATATCTGTTAGATGAAACTAAATACGCGTCCTAAGCGTTATTGGAAGAAAGAAGGAAAAATAAATGTTTTTTTCTCAGCAAAGGCGCTCAACAACGCTATTTTAGTGGCCCAGTCAAGTAAAGCGAAAATAAATGTTGGGGCGGTTTAGGAGCAACGTTTTGAGCCAGACATTTTGACTATCGCAATCAGTTTCGTCAGCGTACTAGTCCTATGTCACACGCACAGAGCTTAAATCCCTCATCGTCGCAATGAAGACATTAGATAAATGTCAAGCTGTCCGACAGTCCGAGCCGAATCTCATGAAAAGGCAATAGCTGCATCAGCTGAACAGGCCACGAAGTTGACTGGGAGACTAAACGTTTGGTTTCACCTTCCTGACAAGTAAATTTATATTCAAGTCAACTGATTTATCGTCGTGAAGGAAAACATTCTCCGAGTACTGTAAAAGAGTAATTGACGGATAATTTAAGTCAGGTTTTGTTTGGAAAAACATATGCATGTATAAATAAAAATGATGTGGAAAAACAGTGCTTAAATTTCCATTTCTGGTATAGCTTCCTACTTCAAAACTTAACACCTCGGCCCCAAGTACGGGACTCTATTTACGTTTCTTATTAACTGACACCATTACCACTCGGGTTCCTAGTTTTTTCCACATTTTGGTAACCATCGGGAAGATATGGAATCAGGCAAATATGCTATTCATCGGTCTATCTATACGTCAAAACGGAAATGGAAATTTCGGGTTGACGAAAGGGGGAATATGCGATCTCCGAACGAGTACCTCTACCTGAAAGTACGTAATCCCACGGAAGGTCATTAAAAGACAAGAAACTAACAATTGCGCACATTACTTTTGCCTTTTTAGCAAAA